GGAATATTTATTATTAATTATTATTATTATTATTATTTTGTTGTTGTTGTTGTTGTTATTTGGTAGGAGAGACCTAAAAAGAGACATTCCATTCATAATTCCTCTTCATTCATTAATGTGGATAGTCTACTGGAGGCATCACTAGTCTCACTATCATCACCTATTACTAGTGAGTACACTACTACATGCCCTTCATAAAATAAATTATTTTTTAAGTGTAATTTTGAGCTCATTGTCATCATGTACATGTCATTGAAAGGAGCGTAAAAAAAAAACATGTACGTGTTTTGTGTATAAAACTTAGCCGTTTGTCTGCTAAATTTTCTCTTATTGCCAAATCTTGAATGTACATGTACTTGCATGTAATGACTTTTACATATACATACTTACTCATGTACATGTACATTGTACATATAGAAAGAAGCATATAATAATTTATAGATTTTGAAAAAAGCACAAAATTTGTATCCAAGACCATCCATTCCATGGTCTTTTTAAAGTACGCAAGTACATGTACATGTATATATGTATACTATATCCCAACTGAGTTTGACCCAAGAAAAACTGGAATAACTTTTTATAGGAATGTGAGATAAGGATGAAACTTTCACAGGTTCTTAGTCGCCCAATGCCATCACAGGATCTCAGGTCTTGGGTCTCTCAGCCCTTGGGAACCCTGAGAACCGGGTTCTCCCTATAAACCCAATGGCATACCAAAATGACGTTTTATGACAATTTATCTACGTCATAGTTTACATAAGAACATGTGGTCGAGCGCCCAAACTGATAATTCTTCTTTTAAAAAGCTAACAGAGCAAGATCTTTTGATAATAATGGCCAATATGAAGACTAGTTGACTCCAGAAGCTATTGTACTGCTTATCAGAACAAACAAAGGCCATTTAAAAGTGAAATACAGGCCAACTAGGCACCTGTAAAATATCGGCCATGCTTCTATGAATATCATTATAAGACGTCATTAGTGACGTATGGCTACATTTTTCAAATTCCAAGCGGCTGGTGTCAAACTCAGTTGGGATATAGTATACATGTATGTATTGTTTTTTACCATTGACTTGATGTACATATACATCTACATGTATGTTTACTACTATTATTTTACGCTACCACAGGGCAGGGGCTAAGAGAAGGTGGTATTAAGAGACAATCAACACTAGCCACTGCTTCAATAGCCACACCCACTCAATCCGGTCCCGCTGTTACCACGGCAACAGAAGGGGGCGGGGCAGTCCCCAATAAACAAGACACGGCCAGATACCACATTGTCAAAGAATTACTAACGACAGAAAAAAATTTTGTAAAAATCCTCAACGTAATTGTCAATGTAAACCACACCCCTTTGACTCCACCCATTATTAATTACATGTTATTAATTACATGTATAGGAGTTTATGAAGCCGTTAGCTACTCCAGGACAGAGAGGAGGGCAGTTACTGACTAACGAGAATGTTAAAAGTATTTTTGGTAATATTCCTGATATACTGAGAGTACACACTGATATAATGGTTAGTGGGTGTGGTGGTGGGTGTGGTCAGTTATTGTGTGGTTGTGTAGAATGGACTGGAGGAAAGGATTAATAATTGGGAGAGCAATACTTGTATAGGAGACATACTACTAGGACAGGTACGGTATAATACATGTACATTATGACTACATGTACATGTACATTAATGTATTAATGTATGGGTTTTTACCATGGACTATATACCATACCTTCAAGGTCTCATATTACTGATAGAGACCGAGAAGGTATGGTATATATGATATATTCTATACTTACTGTAAGATCAAATAAGACCACCATTGAGCATTTATAATCATTGGTAGTGACAGCTGATGGAGTAAATTTGACTAAAAGAGGTCTGTTCTAGTCATTAGAGTGTCCTTAGCTACTTGCAAGAAACTGGCCACTAAGAACAGAAAGGAAAGGCCTAAAGTCAGTCAGGCTGTGGTAGCAAAGAGAAAGAGAAAAGGCAGCCATTTCCTCACCACGTGGCACTATGAATATCATTAAAGCCACATGGGGGTGTATATCAAGGGTGGGGCTGTATATGCTTAATATACCACCTGGTGGGGCCTTTGATCATACAGTAACTACAGTATGTACATGTACATGTATATTACACATGTAGCTCACGGTATTTTTTAAAATGGTCATAACTTGAAAAATTGAATTCGGAATCAGCTCAAACTTTCTACACAGCATAAGGACATCAATATTTATCAAAAAAATGTAATAAAAATTGGGGTGATTTTGGAGCCATTTTTTTGAAAAAACCATGGGCTATAGTACAGGGATTTTTTCAGAATTTTGACGTTTTCTTAAAATGGCCATAACTTGAAAAATTGAAGTCGGAATCAGCTCAAACTTTCTACACAGCATAAGGACATCAATATGTATCAAAAAATGTAATAAAAATTGGAGGTGATTTCGGAGCCATTTTTTGAAAAAACCATGGGCTATAGTACAGGGATTTTTTCAGAATTTTGACGTTTTCTTAAAATGGCAATAACTCAAAAAATTGGAGTCGGAATCAGCTCAAACTTTCTACACAGCATAAGTACATCAATATGTATCAGAAAATGTAATAAAAATTGGGGGTGATTTTGGAGCCATTTTTTGGAAAAAACCATGGGCTATCCTTGCATAAATAAAATCTTTTTGAAATAAAAGTGAAGGGAGGAACACACAAATGAACAATATAATAAAGAAATAAATAGTTTAGGCAAGCTATGATAAATTAAAATTAAAATTAAATTAAATCAGTGGACTAGAACGTGACCATCAGATATCGCAACCACAGCATCAAAATCACCAAAATTGAGCCGGTATAGTGACTTTCTTGTACCACGAATGCAGTAAATGGTCAAACGTAAAATAGAAAATGATAGTTTACACCTAATGAGATTGATGAGTGGACTGTATAGGTATTTTGTAGATTTTGGCTCATTCTTTAAAATGGTCGTAACTTGGAAAATTGAAGTCAGAATCAGCTCACACTTTCTACACAGAATAAGGACAATAATATGTATTAGAAAATGTAATAAAAATTGGGGGTGATTTTGGAGCCATTTTTTAGAAAAAACCATGGGCTATTGCCTTGGGTATTTATTAACATTGCCATATCTCATTCATGATATACACTTAACATAAAATTTTCCAATTACTCTACAGTGTGTGTGTGTGTGTGTGTTTATTTAATATCTTACAGATCATCAGGACAGTTTTTAGGTTGGGGGAGTCTGTGGCCAGTAGTTAAATAGTTTAACATATTTTCAGGTAGTACATCTTCATAAGGAGTCTTTCCTCTTGTCATTATCTCCCACAGTACAACACCAAATGACCACTAGAATATACAAACAATGAGAGATCATCAGGTACAAGGTATACACAGTTACTCTTTATAGTAGTTGCTAACATGTAGACTTTAGCAATATACAACTACTATACATGTAGTTGTATATTGCTAAAGTCTATCCAGCCACTCTCCTTTATGAGTGTCAAAAAGGGGAGGGGCTGGTGGAAATAAAGACATCTACTCTCTTACCACATCAGAAGATGAAGAGTATCTTTTATCAGACAAAACTTCAGCTGCCATCCACTTGACAGGATAAGCAATGGTCTCATCTCCCCCTCCTCCTCTCTCTTCTATTGTATTATAATCTTCTGGATAAAAATCCCAACTTAACCCTCTGTCACCAATCTTTACATGTAGATTCTCATGAATACTATTAATTATAAGTAACTCCACCCACTTCAATTAATACTCTTACTATATATTCCTACATGCCAGGTCTTTATGTACTTGTCCTTTTCTAGTTAAATGGTACATACCTCTGGCCACTTGTTCAGATATAAATACAAGATCATGTGTTGATATATATGTACACTGACCAGACTGGAGAGGGAGAGAGAGAGGGGGGAAGAA